GGCAGCGTGAACTTCAAATCTGCCATACACATACACGTATGTGAAGCCAATGTTCACCACCCTGGCTATACCACTCTACCACCATATGCATTGCTGTGAGGGAAGACTTTGTGTGAGGAAATGCATGAGGCATTGCAAATTAAAAGAAGACAAGCGGATGAGTCACCACCGATTCATGGATATCTGCACTTTCATTCTTGTCGTCATTTCATAATTTGTCCAACTCCACGCTTCACTGCACGGTCCTCTCATACTCCATTATTTATGCTTCCACTGAACGGTAAAGTTCCACGTTCTTTGCTCCTACCCACGACTGGAATTTCCCAGTCCCCCCTCCTTCTCCTTCTACGTCTACCTATTTCCTACTATAAAGCACATAACGAGAAGTGGCAACTTATTTATATCGCGATTTATGCGACAATTCTGGCTGTGCGAAATCCTAATCCTGAATTGTCCACTCATCTACGCAGGAGATGCTAGTCACCTGGTGAATATATGCCACGTTAATTCGCGCTTGGTGTTGCCCTATTTTGCTGCATCGCATTAGCATCACAATAAAAAGTCGGTTTTACCCAAATAACTCACAGTTTTTTGCACACGCCGCAAATGAGATCCCCACCAGTTGAATCCATTCCTGCGCCACACTTTTCGCAGATCAAATGGCGGCGTGTGGCTGCACACGACAATCCTAAACTAGCAGGCGCTTTTGCCATTTCTATTGGTCAATTCTTAAGGCAGTGTAGCCAATCAGAGCGGCACGTTAGCAGAGTTCAGCCAATAGGAATGCTTGCATGATCATGGTTGGCGCACATGATCCACACTAGGCACCGCCAATCACGCAGTCCATTAGCCCAACCGACTGCTGCTTATTGACACCTTGAATGGGATAAAGTGCTCAAGCTCGAGTGTCTCAACTCTAATGCAAGTTGCACAAGTTGCATTAATCGTGTGTCGGTGTGCGACTAATGCGAAAGCACGTTAAGTGGCTGTGAGAGAAGGTCGACAGTCTCCACTTAACGCTACTGCCAAAGAGAATAA